GGACTACTAGAGCCTTTGGCTTCAGATTCTCCAATAACCCTGCAATCCCCCCATACTGAAGAAGAGGAGACCACTTCCATAACTACAGGGAGAAGGGGGTCTCCTGGGCAGGAGGAGGAGCTTCCCCAGGGACAACCGCAGAGCCCCAATGCCCCCCCCAGCCCTTCAGTGGGAGAGATTCTGGGGGATGGAATCAATGGTTCTCAGATCAAACCTGGGGCTCCTAGCCCCACTGCACACCCTTCCTTGCCAGGTAGGTTACTTAATCAGCTGGAAAACCAAGGCTGAGGAGAGGGTAAAGAGGGGTGGGCCTGTGTTTTGAGAAGAAGTAGAGGAGGAGGAGCTTGGGGAGGGGGGAATTGGGGGTGGTGAAGAAGAAGAAAGAAAGTAGGGGTGGGGGGAAGTCCAAGGGCCATGAAGGAGGAATAGGGGGTGGGTTGGGAGAATGGATTTTGTGGGTGAGGTTCCTTTTTCCTTATCTCAGTGAGTTTTTGGTGCCAGGATCCTTCCTTCAGGATTTGAGGAGGACACCAGGTTTCTTGGTTCTGAGATCTTTCTGGCTGTTGTATTCCAGATAGGAGCAAGGTTTATGGGTTTGATTAATGGTAACTAGATTTTGAAGCTACCAACAGCATAACAATTTCAGGGAAATATAGAAATGCAAGATCTAAGATTGTGTCTGTGATGGACAAGGGGCAGCCTGGACTTGAGGGGTTCTATTTCTCCTCTGTTTTGCCTAGTGGTGTGCCTCTCCCAGTCTGTAACCAGGGTCTTGGGACTTATGTAACCATCTGAGGTCAGGGGAACCTACTATACGTATATGCTTCTTTTCCTCCTTGCTACCTTAGGTGGTTCCATTTGTTTTTGTGGGTAAAATATGAATTGTTAATAAAAGGTGTATTATCTATACTTCTTTTGCTATCAATGACTGGGGACTGAGAGCTGTGGGAAAGATGGGACTTTTTCTCATGGAGAATAGCTACACCACCTACCCACCCCTTAGGACAGAGCCTGCGGTAACCCTGAAAGGGACTCTAAGAAGCCACAGGCAGATGAGTTTTCTCCTCCAGTTTTGAATAAGTTCTTCCCCAGGAGTAGAGGCAGGGGTTGGGCCAGGGTGGGGGTGGGGGTGGTGAGGGCAGGCTTAAGATTTAGGCTGTCTTTTGCTTCCTTTACAGGAGATGCCCTGACTGGGAAGGCCAGTGAGAAGCCACCTGAGAGGGTGAGGGGGGAGGAGAATGAAAGGAGTCTGGTTCTCCTGTAGCTCTGGGAAAGACAGATCCTTCATTTTCCCTCCCAGATGTTGTTGTTCTGTGGAAGGGGTGTGTGTGTGTGTGTGTGTGTATAGAGGTATAGAGGAGGAGGGAAGGAAGTATTACATCTACTTTTCTTAAGGCGAATGTGCAGCTCCTTTTCTTCCCTCCTCCCGGGCCAAGGGTCTTTACTCTCTTTTCCCCCCTCCCATCTCTATATTCTCCCAAATCCTGTACTAGTACTACTGGTCCCTTAGCCCGCCCCTGGTGTCAGCTTTCCTCCCCTCCCCATGTTTCCAAGGTACAGAAGAGAAGCGAGCGTGTTCGAAGAATAGAGCCTCCAAAGCCTGAGGTTGTGGATTCCACTGAGAGCAGTGAGTAGGACTTGAGGAAGTGTAATCTGGGAATTCTGGATGAGAGAAGAACTGAAAGTAGGATGTGGCAGGGTATGGAACTTCTAGCTCCCTTTATTTCTGTTCCATGTAGAGCGTGAAGTGCCTGTCTCTGCTACAGGTTGGCATGGGAACCAGGGACAGTGGGGGAAATTGAAAACAAGCAGTGAGGATGGAAAGTTTCCTGTTTCAGCTGTGCCATCTCTGTCCCCAAATCTTCTCACATAGAGCTCTCCCTTCTCCTCCCTGGGAGATTATGGCATAACCAAGGGAGATAGCCACTGGTGGCTTAAAATGCTAATGTAATAGGGAGAGGGGGTATTAAAGGCAAGAATAAAGGAGATCTCAGTATCATAATTGAGCTAATTAACTGTTGGTCCTGGAATGGCTGGAGACCTGGTTGGGTGGCCTTTACTCACTGCCCTCCCCTACTTCCTCAGTTCCAGTATCAGATGAGGATTCTGATGCCATGGTAGATGACCCCAATGATGAGGACTTTGTGCCATTCCGACCCCGTCGCTCTCCTCGCATGTCTCTACGCTCAAGTGTGGCACAAAGGGCTGGGCGCTCTGCAGTGGGCACCAAGATGACTTGTGCACATTGCCGGACACCACTGCAGAAGGGGCAGACAGCCTACCAGCGCAAGGGGCTGCCTCAACTGTTCTGTTCTTCATCCTGTCTCACCACTTTCTCCAAGAAGCCATCAGGCAAAAAAACCTGTACCTTCTGCAAGAAGTGCGTGAGGGTCCTAGGGTGTGGGGAGGGCAGGGATCAGACTGGGAATAATGGATAAGTTAGATACTGTGAAGGAAAGAACCTAGCAGAGTGGCCCTGGAAGACAGACACAATTTAGGGAGGGAATCAGAGAGTATTTGGCTCTGTGGTCTTTGATCCCAAAGGAGCGGTAGGAGCTGATAAAATGAAAGGGTGATATTAGGTGAATATTCAAACCTGTTCCCACCTCCAGGGATATCTGGAACACCAAGGACTCAGTTGTGGCACAGACTGGTTCAGGAGGCTCCTTCCATGAGTTCTGTACATCTGTCTGTCTCTCCTTGTATGAGGCACAGCAGCAGCGCCCACTCCCCCAGTCTGGGGATCCTGCCGATGCAACTCGCTGCAGCATATGCCAGAAGACTGGAGAGGTGAGGAAGCTTGGTGGGGGCTGATTTACAGAGCCTGGACATCCCTGACCTGCCCCTCTAATCCTGGGGCTGCAGGGGCCAGGTCCTGTGGAAAAGGGGGAGTGGGGAGGAAAGGCAGCCATTATGAGGGAGCATATTCAAGGATAGAGCTTCTCCAGGATGTATGCAGCTGGCCTTCCTTGCCTCCCAGGACCTCACCATCAAGTCGGCAGTCTGATGTGCAGGTTGGGGGGTCCCTGGGCCCATTGTCTGCTGTGAAGGTCTAGGGTGAGATGGGGATATGACCTTGTGTTGGGGTGGGTGGTAGAGACTGAGCCCTAGCTCAGGATGTGTGTGTGTGTGTGTGTGGCAGGTCCTGCATGAGGTCAGCAATGGCAGTGTGGTGCACCGACTCTGCAGCGATTCTTGCTTCTCCAAATTCCGGGCCAACAAGGGACTAAAAACCAACTGTTGTGACCAGTGCGGGGCTTACATCTACACCAAGACCGGGAGCCCTGGCCCTGAGCTCCTCTTCCACGAGGGCCAGCAAAAGCGGTTCTGCAACACAACCTGCTTGGGGGCATACAAGAAGGTGGGGCCGAGGGAGTAGTGAATTAGAGGGCTGTGGAAGGGGGTGTGGTTCTTGGGTGATAAATAAAGGTGCCTCATGGGTCGAGGGCTGGGAGAAATAAAAAATAATAATAAAGGGGGTTTCAATTGTATCTGTTATGTTTTATTTTTTAAGCTGGCTGGTGGATACACAGGTCTTTGTTATATCATCATCTATACTTTTTGTATGCCTGAATATTTCATGTTTAAAAAAATTTTAAAAATAAAAGTGAAGGGATAAATCCAGCCTCAGCCTCTCCTTCCCCATCCTCACAGAAAAACACACGTGTGTACCCATGTGTCTGGTGCAAGACCCTGTGTAAGAACTTTGAGATGCTATCACATGTGGATCGTAATGGCAAGACCAGCTTGTTCTGTTCCCTGTGCTGTACCACTTCTTACAAAGTGAAGCAGGCAGGGCTCACTGGTAGGTGCAAAGCCCTCTTCTGCTGGCCTTCCTTCTACCTTCCATACTCCCCTCTTCTAAAGTAACCCATGCTGCCCAACCTCAGCCCCAGCCACATCTTCCCGTGGACTTCCTGTTCCATTTCTGCACTGCCTTACACTTTCTGTGTACTCTCTCTCCTTTTCTCTCTTTTTCCCCCTCTCTTTCTTTCTCTCTCTCTCTCCCTCTATGCCCCAGGCCCTCCCCGACCCTGCAGCTTCTGCCGCCGCAGCCTCTCTGACCCCTGTTACTACAACAAGGTTGATCGCACAGTCTACCAGTTCTGCAGCCCCAGCTGCTGGACCAAGTTCCAGGTACTCAAGACCCTGGACCAGGGATAAAGGGTGTGGCAACAGAAAGAGGGTAGGAGAATTGGAGTAGGTAGGCCTGGGCAAAGCAAAGAACAAGCCTGACTCCCTCTCCCCACCGCCACCACACACATGTTGCCCCTCCCTTACTTGTCTTCCTTCCCTCCAGCGCACAAGCCCTGAGGGGGGCATTCACCTGAGCTGTCACTACTGCCACAGCCTCTTCAGTGGCAAGCCTGAGGTCTTGGATTGGCAGGTAAGATTCCCACTCCACCCATATCTGCCATTCAACCAGACATCTGTCTGAAGGGGTCGTATCACTTGGCTCCTGCCAGGTCCAATGCTATAGCTCTGTTCTCCCTGCCCTGTGCCCCTACCCCAGGACCAGGTGTTCCAGTTCTGCTGCCGTGATTGCTGTGAGGACTTCAAGAGGCTTCGGGGTGTGGTGTCTCAGTGTGAGCATTGCCGGCAAGAGAAACTTCTGCATGAGAAACTCCGATTCAGTGGGGTGGAGAAGAGCTTCTGCAGCGAAGGTAAGGACATGGGGAAGAGTACCTCATAGCCATGGAGAACAGTGGATAAGGGAGGGAGGCTGCTTTGGAATGCCATCTGTGGGGCAGGGTCCTCTGCTCAGCATGCTCTGCCCCTACCTGTCCAAAAGCTTTGGGCACAAGTCAGTGTTGAGGTGTTTAGAAGAGGATTCAGATGCAGCACCTTTAAAAGATTGGGTCTCATGCCCTCGGCTGTCTCTAGACCCTTTTTTCTGTCTCATTCTTTTTAGGCTGTGTACTGCTATACAAACAGGACTTTACTAAGAAACTAGGTTTGTGCTGTATCACTTGTACTTACTGCTCCCAGACCTGCCAGCGTGGAGTCACTGAGCAACTGGATGGCAGCACCTGGGACTTCTGCAGTGAGGACTGTAAGAGCAAGTACCTGTTATGGTATTGCAAGGTAAGGAGGAACAGCAAGTTAGAAAGGAGGGAAAGAGGGTGGACTGTTGTACTGTGCAATGAGGATATGGGCAGATGTCGGGCAAGGTAAGGAGCAGGGGTCTAGCTGGCCCAATCTCCAAGGAAAGTAGCCTGGGTTAGGCCAGGGGAAAGGGCCCAGCACGTCTTAGGGAGGCAGATCTGATTACCCTGTTGATACTGTCAGGCTGCCCGGTGCCATGCCTGTAAACGCCAGGGGAAGCTGCTGGAGACCATCCACTGGCGTGGGCAGATCCGTCATTTCTGCAACCAGCAGTGTCTGCTGCGCTTCTACAGCCAGCAGAACCAACCGAACTTGGATACTCAGAGTGGGCCTGAGAGCCTTCTGAACAGTAAGTCCAGGACGGGGCATACTATGTTAGAACTGGGCTAGAATCTTCTCATCTTAGGCCAAGCCCCTTTCTTCTTCCTTTATTGCTTTCACCTCATCTCTGTCCAAAGCTCCTGGTACTGTGTTCTCATTTAGATTCTGAACCCTGCAAATACTAGGGGAGAGTCTTATTTTAAAGCTGTTGGAGTTAGATTTTATTGATTCTCATTAGAAGTTAGTTTTAGGGAATGGTTATTTGCCAAGGTAAGATGGGGTGTAGGGCAGCTCTGGGTTACCACAATCCTAGTTTTCAGAAAAGGACATATCAGCATAGGCTCTACTTTTAGCAACACTGAAGAATAGTGGTGTTTTTTGACTGTTAATTCTGCCCTTCTGGAACTTCTTGAGTACCAAACTCTTGAGGGGCATCTGAGTGAAAGGTCTCAAAGTGTGAGTTATTTGGAAAAAGGAAATGCAGTATTTTTCGTTCTTCTTGGCATTCAGGAACAAAGAATCTTCTTGGTCGCTATTGTTGGGACTTAAAGACTAGGTCTGGGGTAATGAGGAAGGGAAACTTAGATTTCCCATTTATATTGGGTATACCTCTTAATGAAGCTCTCCTGGAACAGGGTTGATGAAAATGGAGAGTTGGGTCCTCAGATGAGAGCATTAATTTGTTTTGATCTGCAGGTCAGTCTCCTGAATTGAAGCCCCAAACACCCTCTCAAACCAAAGTGGAGAATAGCAACACAGTGAGGACGCCAGAGGAAAATGGGAATTTGGGCAAGGTCGGGGCAATGACCAAGGGGGAGGATAATCTCAGAGGAAAGTAAGGTAGTTAGCAGCACTAACAGTCTTTTTTTTTTCCTGCAGATCCCTGCTAAGACCCGATCAGCTCCAGCTGCTCCCACCCCTCCCCCCCCCCCCCCACCCCCAGCAACACCCCGCAAAAACAAAGCTGCTATGTGTAAACCACTAATGCAGAATCGGGGGGTCTCCTGCAAAGTGGAGATGAAGTCCAAAGGGAGTCAGACAGGTGAGCTAGGGTACCTAGATACAGGCCATGTTCTGTAGTCCTAGGCCTCCATCCCTGTGCCTGGGAACTGGATAAAGGGATTTCTTAGGTAGTTCAAGTTAAGATGTATGTGGTTGTTCTAGAATCACAGAGTTGTCCCTCAGCCTTTGGTACAAGGACAGTTTTGTGACACTGGGCATGTGTTAGAACTTTTGGGGGTGACTAGCAAGAATCATTAGATCCTGCATAGGATGTGACCAGTCTGGCAGAAGCTCTGAGGAGAACCTTTCTTGTCAGCAGAAGAGTGGAAGCCACAGGTGATAGTGCTGCCCATCCCAGTGCCCATCTTTGTGCCAGTGCCTATGCATTTGTACTGCCAGAAAGTTCCAGTGCCTTTCTCAATGCCTATTCCGGTAAGTTTCCCTGCCCTACCAGAATTGATAACCACTGCTTCCCCCTACTCTCATCAGCTACCACTCTCATCTGGTATGATTCTTAGCATTTAGTTGGGCCTTGTGCCTCCAGGTACCTGTGCCCATGTTCCTGCCCACTACTTTGGAAAGCACAGACAAGATTGTGGAGACCATTGAGGAGCTGAAGGTGAAGATCCCTTCCAACCCTTTGGAGGCCGACATCCTGGCTATGGCAGAAATGATTGCAGAGGCTGAGGAGTTAGACAAGGCCTCATCTGACCTTTGTGGTATGCCATGGACAGCAGTGTTGAGGGAGACAGGGTGGTGGTACCAGTCTGCCTCTGCCTAAGAGGGTGGAGAGTGGTGACATTGGTACCTAGTGGAATGGGGGAATAGTTGGGATCAACCACTAGAAGTCTGTGACGGTGCTAGGAAGTACCTGCAACTACTGTGCCAATTCTCTGCTTCCCAGACCTTGTGAGCAACCAGAGTGCAGAGGGACTTCTGGAAGACTGTGACCTGTTTGGGCCAGCTCGAGATGATGTCTTGGCCATGGCTGTCAAGATGGCCAATGTCTTGGATGAGCCTGGGCAAGACTTGGAGGCAGACTTTCCCAAGAGTGAGTAAGATTCAAAGCCTGCTCGCTGAGTACAGTAGCATTCATGCCATCAGGAAGGGAATGTTCCTTGCAACCCTGAGCATGATCCTAAACAGTGTTCTTGTGACCCTGAGACAAAAGGTTCTCATAGACAGTAGTGCCAGAGATAACAGGACAAGTCTACTGTTTTATTAGAGTTCTGAGTCTTGATTTTGTGCCTCTGAGAATGCTTTTGATGTAGCTTTGCTCTCTCCTATTGAATAAAACAAAGTTGTCTAAAAGGCTCATCTTGGGTCAAGTGGGCAAGTAGCAGGGATGAGGTGGGAAGAGTATCTTAAAACATTGAGTTTATTTATTTATTTCCTCTGTATTAGATCCTTTGGACATTAACCCCAGTGTGGACTTCCTCTTTGACTGTGGCCTGGTAGGACCTGAGGATGTGTCTACTGAACAAGATCTACCCCGAACCATGAGGAAGGTGAGGGCTGGGGCTGCTGTATCCACAGAAGAAGAGTAGAGGCCCAAAGGTGTGGGGTGCTATCTTAGCCAAGCAAGCAACCTCAGTTTGATCTTCCCTAACCACCTTTTTCAACCACTTTGAGTATCAAAATATAGTCAAACTTTGCTTTCTCCCTAATTCACAAAGTTGTTCAAACTATTTCCGGGGTCCTGTGTTACAGAAGTGTGCTGTGTTCTTGTATCAGTCACTTGGTGGTACACACTATTCTGACTAGTTTCCACGATGCCTCTGGCCTTATCTCCATGCTCCACTCCTTTCCTTTTCCCCCAGGGTCAAAAGCGGCTTGTGCTTTCAGAAAGCTGTTCCCGGGATTCCATGAGCAGCCAACCTAGCTGTACTGGACTCAACTATTCATACGGTGTTAATGCTTGGAAGTGCTGGGTACAGTCAAAATATGCCAATGGAGAAACTAGCAAGGGTGATGAGCTGCGCTTTGGCCGTAAGTACCCAGGAGAGAAAGGCAGGGACAGGGAGGAGGAGAAAGAGGAAAGAGGGGCTGGACCTGTGATTCAGCTGAAGATGTCTAGGAGTGATAAGGGTGTGATCACTTAAGGGTACTCTGTGAAGATGGGGAGGAGTTGTGGAATAAAGGGAGATGCTGTCTGGGTTTCATGGCTGAGGGCTCTTTTTGCAATTGATGAGTTTGTTCGGGAGATGAAGATTAAGGGGTTAATTGTGGAGCTCAGTGAAATTCTCCCTGTGGAATTCTCTTAATCCCATCCACCTCTACTGGTATCACTGCAGCCAAGCCTATGCGTATCAAAGAGGATATTCTGGCCTGCTCAGCTGCTGAACTCAACTATGGTCTCGCCCAGTTTGTGAGAGAAATCACCCGACCCAACGGTGAACGATACGAACCTGATAGTATCTACTATCTGTGTCTTGGCATCCAGCAGGTACCCTTTGCATACCACCTCACTTATTATCTCTCACAGCAGGCAGGGTCCCACCAGAAATGATTTCTATCCCACTCCTTGTTCCTTACCTTGTCTCTACCCTGAGCAGGCAACTTGCCTTTAATCTCCTACTCCAAATAGGACAAGAGATGGCAATACTCTTCTAAAATCAAAGCTGCATTTCAGGATTATTGGCCAAGGAGCAGTTTTCATTGCTATATAGGTCCCCTGTTTAATCCCCAAACCCATTTTAAGAGGGGAGGGAGGGAAGAGCTGGGCTCCTTGAGTGGTGAAGTAATGTTTAGTTGCCACAGGGAGAGGTAAGCTATGTACTAGCTGACAAGGGGGTCTGGGCTTCTGAAGAACCATCCATGACACAGCTATGACACAAGGTTCCTTCTCTTACAGCAAAGCCTTGCTACCTAAGGGTTGTAGGAATACCTGGGGAAAAGCACTCAGGGTCACCTAATCAAGAAACTCTTTCCCGTAGTCTCCTAATTATCAGGGACACCATTCTTGGGGCCTTTGGCATCATTGTCTTTCCTCTAGGACCTCCAGTCTAGCTTTATGGGTGTCTCTTTTTTTCTTTCTCCAGTACTTGCTAGAAAATAACCGAATGGTGAATATTTTCACGGACCTTTACTACTTGACATTTGTTCAAGAACTCAACAAGTCTCTGAGTACCTGGCAGCCCACACTCCTCCCCAACAGTAAGGAACAGAGACTTAACGTCTACATTCTTATCTCCATTCTTATAGTACACCATTTCAAAAGTCCTGTGCTGTTTAGTGTGTCAGTCTTCAAAAGGATCTGAGGGTGGGGCATGTAGCTGAATGCCTTAGAATTTAATGCTAGAGGAGCAGGAGTCCCTATCTTTGAACATGAGAAGGGGATCAAGACTTAGGTTTGAAGATCTATGTCAGACTGAAAAAGATGACCTGGGGTTGGGTGGTAAGTAAAGAAAGAGAGCAAGAAGTTGTAGGACTCTTCAAGGTTTACATCTATCTACCTGTGATGAGAAAAACTCTAAATGTAGTTAGAAACTATAAGGAAAAATCCAGTGTACCAGAGTGTCAGGGTTTTCTGTACAGTGGTTGCTTACTGAATGAGTAATGCATAGTAGATGCTTGTGAGCAGAAACATATGGGATGAGAAACAGTTGAGTTTGTGTAATAAGTAGATCATTCCTGACTGGTCTTTTCTCTTTTACCATTGCAGATACAGTGTTCTCCCGAGTGGAAGAAGAGCACCTCTGGGAGTGTAAGCAGCTGGGGGTCTACTCGCCCTTTGTCCTTCTCAACACCCTCATGTTCTTCAACACTAAGTTTTTTGGGCTTCAGACAGCTGAGGAACACATGCAGCTTTCCTTCACCAATGTGGTACGGCAATCCCGCAAGTGTACCACCCCTCGAGGCACCACCAAAGTGGTGAGCATCCGCTATTATGCTCCAGTCCGCCAGAGGAAAGGGCGAGGTAGGAGACTGCCCACCTTGCCTTTACTTTTTTACCCTTCTCTACTTTTCCCTTCTATCCCCTATCACAACTGCCTGATTGGCCCTCTCCTTTGCAATTACTTTCCCTATCCTTCTGTTCCTGTGTTTGCAAGAAAGGTGAAAAAGTCCAGTCCTTCCATCTGATGGGCAGTGGCTGTTGGATAAATAGGATGTCACTTGGCTGTCTGTTTTCCTCCTCTTCTCATTTCAAGGCACTTTATTTGCTTGCTTATTTTTTTTTTGTAGGTGGTGGACAGGTAGGAAGCTGTGTGTTTGGCTGTGGGGGAGAGTTGACAGAATAGATGATAGGCTTTCCATAATTCTTTGCTGTTGGATGTAACTGCACCTTGGTTTCCATTCTTTCTGGCCCTAGAATCCTTGTCCTAAGTGCAGCTCCCAAGGTGCCTTCTCTGGACTTGAGCCTCTACCTTGACTAATGTACAGAGGGCTGGATCTACTACTGTTTGTCTATCCCAGAAAGCAAGCCCAACCTAGGGTCTCTTATATCAGTTGTCTAAGTTCTACGATCATCTCTTCAGGAAATCAACTTGAGAGAAATTACATAGATATTGGCAGCCAGAATCAGAGAGGACTGTTGAGCAACACACCTATAAGATGTTTGGGTGGTATGGAGGAGAGATGACTGACTCATCTTTTACCTTAATTTCTTTATGAGACTGACCTGGACTGAGCTCTTAGAGGTGGCTCCTTGGAACTGTCTCTTCTGAATCTGGGTCACTTGCCTCCTCTATAGACACTGGTCCTGGTAAACGGAAGAGAGATGATGAAGCCCCTGTCTTAGAGCAGCGTGAGAACCGTATGAATCCCCTTCGCTGCCCTGTCAAGTTCTATGAATTCTATCTCTCAAAATGGTGAGTTGGTGGGTTTGCAGGAATGTTGTTAGCAGGTGACCCAAAGGATCTATTTTGCTTTGGTACTGATCTTCTGTTCTGCCACCTCTGTCCCTACTCTACCACCACAGTCCTGAAAGTCTCCGGACTCGTAACGATGTGTTCTACCTGCAACCTGAGCGGTCCTGCATTGCCGAGTCACCTCTCTGGTATTCTGTGATCCCCATGGACCGAAGCATGTTGGAAAGCATGCTCAACCGCATTCTGGCTGTGCGTGAGATTTATGAGGAGTTGGGTCGTCCTGGGGAGGAAGACCTGGATTGAGCCGCTATGCCATCCACATCCATCTTTCACACCAATGTTTGTCCTGTGGCCACATCCCTCAAGGTGATTGGCCCAGGAGCCAATCCTACTCATTCTGAAGAGCCCTGACTGCCCCTTTCTACTTACCCGTTCCCTACCTTCCCTAGGATCCCCCTAGCTTTTACCTTTTTCATACCACTGAACAACTACAGGGCCTCAGTCTTCTGTAGTCAGGGACTAGTTTCCCAGTGATGGGCAAAAAAAAAAACTTGTCCATTTTCTTCATGTTCAGAGTAAATTCCTCCTCTGGGGCCAGACTCTGGGTAGAGTGTTAATAGCTCTGGTGATCCTGTTGGCTTTGGGTTTCCTGACCCATCTCATATAGGTCGAGCCCCTTGTTTCTAGGTTTGACCCAAGGAAGAACCCAGCTGCCTTCTTTGCCCTGTGCTCACTTCCTTCTCTACTCTTCCCCAGTATCATGCTAATGGGTCTAGTGTGAAAGAAACTATGAAAGTAATGAGGGGACCATTTACCTGAAACACAGGGCTTAGACACTTTTCCCCTTCCATGAAATAATTGGTTGTGGGAACCCTCTTACAACCTTCGTCCCACCTCCCACAAGCACCAACCTTTGGTGCTACAATTTAAAAACTCCCAAATACGTTTTTTCTTCTCAAAGGCAGATAATGACTCTTAAGTATAGGGAGCAGACTCTTGCTCCCTTGTTTTACTTGTTTATCTCTTTCTCTGCCATCTTAGGTTGGCATGAGCCATGGTGTCAACTTGCTTAGCCCGCTTCTATAACTGCCTCCCTTTAGTTCAATGGACAGAGCTCTCAAGACAAAAAATTACTTTCTGACTTGGGTTGGGGCTGGGTTCCCCACTGTTGTTCTCTCCCCATCATAAGAGCCAAGCCAAGCCTGTGGGGGCCCTGGATCAGGCAGGATGGGATCTGTGGTCAAAGGATAGGTGAGGACCTGTGGGCATGGGTCCTGCCCACATTGCCTACATTTTCCCTCTTTCCCATCTTGTCTATGTAGTCCTAGAAAATTATTAGTGTCCAGTAAAGGGAGTACCCAGTTCTTTCCCTATTGGCTTTGCTGTTTCCCTGCCTTCTTTTTGTGTTTTTATATCTGTCATCAGTTTAGCCACTGTTTAAATTGTATATATTGTTCTAAGGCACCTGGCCTGTCCCTTCAGTGAGCCATGTTTGCCCTTGTGTTGTAGTGAGAAGCTGTTGTCAGGACTAATCTGTCTCTGGAATTGTTTGTTTCAAATAAAGAGTTAAAATTGTCTTTTACCTTTCCTGGGGAGGGGAGAGTGGTTTTGGGGAAGGGTTGAGGATATAGAGGAGTAGTGCTGGATAACTTCAGATCTTTCAAGGCATAAAACATGAGGTGTCCCACTCCGGTTTGAGGATCATTTTTGCCCATATGAAACATCTCTCTAAATGAATGCAGTGGGAATATGGTCCATTTAAAATAATTTTCTAAGCATTTAAGAAAAAACAGATACTCAACAGCCATCTATTAAGGACCTACTATGTTTAAGGGCCTGAATTACATGCCTTAGAAAAGACTAGACCAGGACCCTATCCCCAGCAGGCCCCCATGCTATGGGAGAGAGACAGACCAGTACATAATTGTCATAATGCAAACAGAATGAAATAAATAATCCTACAGGAAACAGGGATATAAGCAACTAATTTCAAGTATATGGAAAAATTGAGGGGTCATTGAGGGAGGTGGCATTTGACCTCGGCCCAGCACAATCAAAGGCATAGGGACAGGAAAGTACAAAGCTGAGGTTTCCAATCACAGGATGACAGGATTAGATCTGTTACTTTATGGTGAAGATACTAGAATAATAGATAGGAGGCAGTGGCATATCTAAAGCTGGGAGACTAGTAGAAGTAGTGTGGCTAAGATTCCATGTACCTCAGTGGGGCTGCAGGGATAGGGATGGATTCAAAATAATATTTCAGATATTTTGAAAGTCCAAGTTTATAGGATTTGATGAATGATAGGAAACGAGGGTTTGGGGGAGGGCAAAATTAAGGATGACTCCTAAGTTTCTAACCTTGAGGATTGGGAGGATGATGATGCCTTCAACCAAGATAGGAAACGCAGAGGCAGAGTTTTTTGTTGTTTGTTGGACCTGGAGTGGGGGGTTTGATAAATTCAAATTTTGGTCATGTTGAATTTAAGACTCCATTGAGACACCCATGTAGTGGGCCATGCAACATGGTATAGCAGAAAGAACACCCAAACTTAAGTGTCTCATCATAAGCTCCACTACTGAAACTGGGGCAAGCCTACTTTTGAGACTCGCCTAAAATGTGGGTTCATATTCTGCCCTGCCTTTCTCACAGAATTGTTGAATAGGTCAGATGAGAAAATTAATATGAAAGAGCAATATTAATGCTAGGCATCACCATATGTACTGTTGTTAGTTGTCATTGAGTCTGCTTTAACTGATGGTGATCTCATTTGGAGGTATGAGTTGTACTCATACGGAGTAGAACAGCTCCATGGGGTTTCTTAGGCTGTGACCTTTCAGAAGCAGGTCGCCAGGCTTGTCTTTGAGGCACCTCTGAGTGTGTTCAAATACCAACCTTTCAGCCCTTAACTGTTTGCACCACCCAGACACACTATATATACTGTGTTGTTATGTGCTGTCAAGTCAGACCTGACTCATAGCAATCCCTTCTTGGGTTTTCAAGGCAATATCACTACGGAAGTAGATTGCCCCATCTTCCTTCCGAGGAGTGGCTGGTGGGTTTGAACCACCAGCCTTCTGGTTAGCAGTCATGTGCTTTAGGCGCTATGCTACCAGAGCTCCTTCTAGGTAGTTGGAAATTTGTGTCTGAAGCTTGGAAGAGTGAAGAAGTGTCCATTTAGACACCATCTGCGAAGGGCTCCTAGCTGAAGCTCTGAAAATGGACAAGATCACTCCAACGAAAAATAGAGTGAAGAGAAAACACCACCACCAACAAAAAAAAAAAGGTACATTGGAGAATGTCTATTAATCAGAGAAAAGTACTGAGAGGAAGGGACCAGAGAGATAGGAGACCCCAATCTACCAGATGCCAAAGGCATAACCATTTGATAGAAAGCTTAGCCCAGGCCATGATGAAGTGGCCTCTACTTCCCCCATCCACAACAAGGCCCAAAGCCATTTGATTCTCTTACCTCCTTCCCCTATTGGAACTGGAAAGGGACTGGTGTCATTCATTCAATCAGATTTCTATTCTGTATCCAGCTTTATGCTGGTCACTAAGGATAAAAAGTTGAGTAAGAACTTTCAGTCTGCTCTTGAGAAGTCCCTAGTCTGATAGAGAAGACCAGGACTAAGACCAAGGTAAGGTAGGCAAGGTGCCTAGGGCACAAATTGAAGAAGGGACTCATTCTTGGGATTGCGCACATGCCAATCTTGTACTTGCATGATCTTTAAATTTTGCACCTAGGTGCCTCAGTTGCATCACTGTCGTACTGATCCTGGGGAAGACTCACATGTCAATAAAATAACCTGAGTAGAATGCAATTGTTTCTCATTCTCCCCCAGGAAGTCAAGAAAGACCACAGAAGTAACATGAAAACTGGGTCTTTCATGAAGATTAGGCAGAGCTTGTCAGGCAGAGTACAGGTGCAAGGATCAGTGTGTACAAAAGCATGGAGGCATAACAGTGTCTTCAGGGAAGGGAGGGTGGCTGAGTTAGAGAAGGTGTAGAGGGTTTAGTGAAAAGGCTAGAAGGTGTTGCTGGGAAAGTAAAAAGAAATCAAAGTGTGAAAGGCATTGAATGGCACACCCTACATTGCCTTGCCATCCCTTGCTAGGGTGGCCAACATATCTCAGTTTGCCCAGGATTTTCCCAGGTTTAGCAATTAAAAACCCCATATCCTGGGAAATCCCTCAGTCTTGGCAAACCCAGTTTGTTGTCACTTTTGCTCTATCATACGTTATCCTAGAGAAGTGGAAAGCCATCAAAGAATTTTGACAAAGAACTGGCAGGATATGCTTCAAGTTTTAAGATGACTTTAGCATATCTGGGTGATGTGGAGGAGGACTGGGTGCTGGAGAAACCCAAAGAAGGCCAATTACAGGGATACAGTGTGGTGCAGAAATGGTTATGTGCTTCACCTTTAGCAGATGTGAGTTCAGTCCCCCTGATCAACCCTTTGTTTCCTAGCTGTGAAGCCTGGGCAAGTTACTTAACCTCTCTAGGCCTCAGTTTCCTTATCTGTAAAATGGGGACAGTAATAGGGCTTACCTCAAAGAATGGTGAGGATTAAAGGAGATAACATAGCATAGTGCCAGGCAGGCTCTTAACGTTAGTTTTTATTGTCCACATTAACAGAAGATTGGTGCAAGGTTCAAAGTAAGGCAACAGCAGCAATAGGAATGCCAAGAAGGAAAGGGATTTGATAAAGATTTGGGAAGCAGAACTACCAGACCTTGTTGGTTAATTGATTTTATTTTAGTGTGAGTGAATTTTAGTTGGTTTTAATTGCCCAGAGTATCTGCATTTCAAGACATTTATCACTACTTGAGGAAGGAAAAGTTTTGTCCCTTGTTCAAGGAATTTCAGGCATGGAGGAAGGGAAGCTGGAGGAGGAATTGAAAAGAGAGAAGGGAGCTTAGAGGGTAGACTATAATTGCAGGCATGTTTCAAAAGCTTATTTTGCCTAAGACCAGAAGAACTAGATGGTGCCTGGCTAACAATACCACCAACAGCTCTAATCAGGATCACAATAGAAGGTCCTGGACAGAGTGGGAGAAATGC